CACGAATGTACCAAAGCTAATATGATAACATTGATACACGAATGTACCAAAGCTTATATGATAACATTGATACACGAATGTACCAAAGCTGATATGATAACATTGATACATAAATGTACCAAAGTTGATAATGTATAAATACTCTACTAATGACATGCCAAATGTACCAACAATTCCCACTATTACACACAATGGGCTGATGTATCATAATAATTCAATCATAAAAATATCATGCTTGGGTAGTTCATGCCCTAAATCATTCATAAAACTGATATAGAATATTATAAAAATATTCTTTATAAACTTTATAAATCATACTGTAAATTGAAATGAGGTTGACTTATCGCAAGTCATCATCGATCGTAATAATTAAATAAATAATTGCACTCACATTTGCCTAACTACAAAACTTTTATACAATAGTCCTAGTCACGAGCTTTATCATTTCCTTTCGGATCGTTCGAATTGCTAGATTTATCGTAGTCTTGGCTATGGGTTTCAGCATCTTACTGGAGAAAAGAAAAGAGTTTCACGAGAATTCTCCAAACATATCTCTAATTATTAGCTTTTAAAACTATTTATTGATATTTTTTATTCCTTTTGGGTCGAATACCAAAATTACCCTTAATAAATCTTAAAATAAATCTTAAAAATTATCAAATGCCATTTGTATTATCTTCCATTAAAATATTCCTTGGTCAAAGATGAATCAACTAGGCTTTGAATTTCGAATTTGGCCATGCAATTTTCAAAAATTGCATTTTAGTTACTAAAATTCCATTGTTTGGTAAAATCTGAAAAATTGCACTGTTATGAGCCAATTTTCTCTGATATGAAATATGAAAATAATATTTCAACCATTTTCTAACATCCTTCAAATTTTCGTAAAATTTTGGTTCGATCCGATTATCTGATTTCAATACTGAACTTTATTGTTTTATAGATTTTAACACAAATCTCGTACCAAAAATCTGATTCTAACTAAAATCTCAATTTTAATCCAAACTGTTCATTTACAGGCTAAAAAATATATAACTTTTAAAAATTATAATTTTATGTCCTAAATTTTTCAAAGTTTATATTTTAGCCACTAAACTTTCAAAACTTACATTTTAGTCACTGGTCAAATTTGGGGTATTACACCTTGCACCTAAGTTATGGTAGACATCATGGTGCGGCTGAGGGTTCTGCATCTCAAAGCTCACACACCCCACTAGTCTACCCTAGATATGGCCCCCGGAAGTCTGTGCATTGGAAGCCAGTATCCGTGACTAACCTACCATTTTTTCTAAAGAGTGCTAAGGCCTTGGCAAACATAGTTAGTAAAAAACGGTCCTACCTAAGGATATCCGAACTGAATCTATAATGTCAACTCTGCTAGATTTTCTAAAGGAACTTGAGTGTCCTAGTCATTTTTCCGAGCATTCAAACAAGGGTAGTTTTATTTCTCCTAACTTTAACTTGCTTTTACGTTTGAAAATAACATTAACGTTCTCATTTGTAGTCTTATCAGAAGAATTACAAAAGTGTTGGGGTACCTCAAGTCTAAAATGCTCAAAAACTGCCTTTACTGCTCAAAACAGACTGAAAGTATCGATACTCATGCTTAAGTTTCAATACTTTATATAAGTACTGATACTTTTAAACATTTTGTTCTGCCCAATTTCGAAACTCTTTTTCAATCCCAAAGACCTTAGTGAGGTCCCCAAACATGCTTAAAGTTTTATGTGAATACAAGGAGCATAAATAAGGCTTTATACTATGCTTATGACATCAAATGAACAATCTACCATGGAAATTGCTAAACATGCTTTAAACTTAACTTTCTAACACGTCTTAACTTTCCATGATCTACACTTGGTATGAAAAAGCTATAAGTGTGTTACCTGACCATCTTCGTTGCTAAACTCCTCTTGAAACAACTAGGATTCACCCTACCTTCAAGAAAAACCCATTTTGAAAACTAATTCTAAAACTTACAAAATGGATCTTAAAACAAAGCTTGAAGGATGGAGAGAAATGTTCTTACATTGGCTACAACAAACTAAGCTTGAATCTTTAAAACTTTGCACTTAAGAAATGAAGAAAAAAAGAGAAAATGAATAAGAAGAAGAAGAGATGAGTGTTTGGTGAGAAAATGGTGGGGTGGTTCACGTAAACATGAAATATGATAACCGTCGTTTTGTTATCAAAATAATTCCAGCTTCTTAATTAATTAGAAAGTAAAAGATAGTATAGAGAAGTAGAGTCGATTAACAGGGACTATGGTTTTTGTGATTTAATAAAATTGTTTCTTGATTTTAGGAAAAGATAGAATTCCATGTAAAGTTGAAAAGATTTAATAAAATAAAATAAATAAAAATAAAAGGGAAAATAATAAATATTAATAGTAATAATTATAAAAAGGGGTTTTAAATTATTTAAAGAAGCATAAATAAATAAAAATTAAATAAACAAATAAATAAAATAACTAAATTGGGATAAAGACAACTTATTGTGAAAGCAGCCTCAAACTTCAGCTTTGTCTCAAATTCCTTGGATCATCGAAACAGATTTTTACTTCAAGATTCACGTCGGCTTACAAGGACAATTCTTTGCTACCAACTCGGATTATGTCGTTTCAACAATAACTGATTTCGATCTCAGTTTCCTCTTAGCAAACAATTTTGCTAAGTGTGTTCTCGGGAAGTCGAATATGCTCCAATAAGCAAATCCTTCTTCAAACGTTAACCATAACAACATCCAGACTAATGTCAAAATTGTTTTAATTTGAAAAGTAAGGTAAAAAACAAAGAGAAAAAATCCGAAGCGATTTAAGTACCTTACAATTCTCACGTTTGGAATTGAGCCTTCGATTTAGTCTTCGGCTTGAAAGAAAATTAGCTAAGCATGGCCAAATTCATACTTAGCATAATTGAAAACGAAATTTTAAAAGAAAATAGGAGAAGTATGCACAGAATAGAGAGAAAGCTAGAGAGAAAAAGATGATTTAATTCTCAGATGAGAGAGATGTGTTTCTAGGCTCACCCTTAGAGGGTATTTATAGCCTTCAAATTCCTAAAAATAAGCTAAAGATAATTCCTAAAATAATATCTTTTATCCTAATAAAAACACTTAAAATTATTTAAACTAAAATACCTAAAACAAAGATAAACAAAAAAAATACTATTTAAAATAATATCCTAAACCTAAATAAAATACTAAAACCTATTTAAACTAAAATACAAAGATAAAATATAATATTTAAAATATTATCCTAAACTTGAGTTTGATTCAAATTCGTATTCTAGAAATGTGCGGCCAATTTATTCGTTCTTCTAGAAATGCTGAATAGATCTTCTAGAAGGTGCTGACGTCATCGTCTCGTCGGATGTTTCATGCCCGAGTTCATGCCCACTAATCCAGCTTCGATTCCGAAAATAAAAAAATTGTAGAATTCTTTCCTTTTAGTGCAATTTGCAGAATTTGACGTTATGCATAGAATGAATCAAAATAAACAAATAAGTCACAAAAACCAATGATTAAGGAGTAATTTAAAAACAAAATATTGACTAAATTAAGCACTTATCAATATAAAAAGGGGAGGGTTTTTAACTTTAAAACAATGAGGGAAAAATTGCACTATTAGCCCCTCTACTTTCTCTTACATAAAACACTAATAACCTATCACCCAAACTTTTAGGGCTAACACAAGCCCACTAACACTAAACTTGATCCAACTGATTTATAAAGTCTTTTGGGCTCAACTTTGGGTCTCGGGTTGACCCGAAATACTAACCCGAGATTCGGAATGTTACAATCATTAAATTCAATTCTAATCTATATTTTATGATTGCAAAAGTTTATTAATATCAAATCTGAAAATGTTATGAAAATGTAAAGTAAGGGTAGTTATTAAGATAATTAAATAAATATAATTTGAAAAGATGATATTAAATTCATTGCTAATAAAAAAGAAAATGGAATAAACTACAAATATGCTATAAAAAATATATAAACCATTTCCAATTTTAATATAAAAATAAAATATAAAATAAATAAACATAGTAACATAATTATAAGAGAAAAACATAGCATCAATTCAAACTTAATATTAACGCATATAATAAAAAATATAAAAAGTCAAAAAAATCAAACGTAAAATATAAAATGCAGAGAGGAACCCGTATTGACCTAATTAGCATTATAGAGAGAGAGAGAGAGAAAATGTTAATTTTATTAAAAATATATTTAAATTACAATAAAGATTTATGAGTATATATATAAACTAAACTTATAATTAAAACATTTTCTATAATTATTGACATAAGAAATTAATCACTTGAGACCATCTAAATAACTCAAATGAAGTATAGATACGATCGAATATAATTGTATTGACAAATGAACTACAGTATAGGATCGAAATATTGAAAGACTACAGACAATCACAAGTTAGAGTCGAGTATCCTAAAAAAATCTTTGGAATCAAATTGTGTTTCTAATTCCAATCCGAGAGTCTAAAATAGGAAAGATCAACAAGATAATAAATCAACGGTGTCTTAGTAAGTCGAGGATACGTCAAATCAAATCTTAAAAAAATTAAACGAAGAGAATAATCAAACAACTAATAAAGAAAACCAATAACGTATAAAAATGTCATATTGTTAGTAATAAAAAATAAAAATAATAAATACGAACAGGTAAGGTCAACATTAATATTAACGTCGAGAACCAAATACACATATATGTAGTACAATGTAAATTGAAACGTAAGACATACAATTCAGAATCCAGCTAAGGAAAAAAGCATAGCTTTCTTTTTCAGAATCAATTCTCCATCAGTTTATTTACACTTTTTTCAACTATCCATTTGCTTTAGGAAAGAAAATATAATAAAAAGAAAAGTCGCAAAGAAAAACGGAAAAGAAGCAACAAAATTCTATATAAAAGGTAGAAAAATATCCACCAATAATTACATAAACCCCAATTAAAATAAATAAATAAAAAACCACAGAAAGAATTAAAAAAAAAAAGCTCAAAACTCGGATGAGTTCATTCATGACCCGTCTTTCCATCACCGAGTCGCAACCGAGTTCGAGTCATTGACCCCGAGTCAAGCAACGCTTCCCAGTCCACTTCCTCTTGCTCCTCCTCACTCCCCCGTTTCAACATCTCCAATATCCTCCTTACTTTCTCCCTTGTCGGCCCACTCGTCGTCCTCTCCACCTTTGCCAACTCCTCCACCGCACTGGCCACCTTCGCCAACCCCTTAAACCTCAACCCCGCCTGACTCAGTCCATACAAAACCGCCACACAACCTTGCCGAGTTGAGTCAAACAACTCATTTCTCCTCAACAAACTCGTCAAACACTCCACCGCACCCGAATCCAACATTGCCGCCCGACCGTCCGAACCCGAAGTCAAGTTACACAATATAAGGAACACCTGATCCGTCATATGACCCGATTTAACCATACTCAACAAAACAAGAACCGACCCGTTCTTAACCAATTTACTCCGATTGCTCTGAACGAGTGAGAGATGGTAAAGCGCCAAGGCCGAGTCATGCCGAGTCCGCTCAGTCCCTGTTTTCAGCATGTGCATCAATGGTTGCAGAGCTCCCAAAACTCCGATGGCGGTTTTGTTATTATCATCAAGGGCTAAGCTAAAGAGTGCACCGCAAGCATGCTCCTGCGCCTCACGGGATCCCGATTTCAACACATTGATCAAAACGGGAACCAATCCTGACGTACGATCTTAACCTTGTTGATCTTTTCCAACGACAAGTTCACCAACACTGCAACTGAGTTCACTTGAATGTTCACGTACCTGGAAACGATCAAAGACCTGAAAGCTGATAGTACACGTGGCGTGCAAAAAACAGCCCTGGAACTCTCTTGTGTTCTTGTTATCTTCCTTAATTCAATCAATGCTCCTTCGACGTCGAAAGCTTGTGAGCTTTTTAGTTTCGTGAGAAACGATTCTTCTTCTTCGTTGATGTTAGGGGTCGTTAAGGTTTCGATTTCAGAGGAGGATGAAGCGGATGAATAACAACTCGGACGATCCGTGAGTTGCAATGGCGGTGTTACGACATTGATCGGAGTCGTAACGGCGGCAGCGGCAACCGATTCATCGGAGCTGGAACGATTTAGCTCAGTGACTGCATGATCCAACTTCACTGAAGGAACATCTTTGACACCTTGGATCAGATTTCTCCCTGAAACATATATCCTTTCTTCTTCTTCTCCGGTGTGGGTTTTTGGGTTTCTGGACGATAATGTACGAACAAGTTCCTGAGCCCTGGAAAACTCAAGGGGTTTTGGAGGGTTTAAAGAACGATTCTGACACCAATTATCAATGGTGGATTTGAGAGCAAGGTTAGGGATAACAGTGGAGAAATCAGGGACGGAACCGTCGTTGAGGGTTGGTGCAAAGTCCATGTTTTTACAGGCTTCAACACAAACTCTTTCGAAAGTGTGACCCGAGGAAACTATAACAGGGTCAGCCATTAAAGACCCTGAAATGGGGCAAGAAAATTCTTCAGGGATCAACTTTGGCTGAACTCGATGATGAGATTGTTGACATGTCCCGGAAACGCTTGCAGACGTTGATCTTCGGAACAAAATCTTCCATTTTGGCTTCGTTGATGCAACTCTCTCCGCCTCTTTCCCTGGAACAGAATGGAAAAAATGTCTATGATGAGTTGGTGATTTATGAATCGCCATCTTCATCAAAGCTTCCTGGAACTCCATTGTTGAAATTCTTGGGAGATCAAACACTGAAGCTTTGAATCAACATGTGCGAATGAAACTGGAAGAGACAAAATAAGGGTGGAGTGAGTTCGTGCAAATGTTGATATAAGGAAGACGGAATCATAAAAGAGAAAGTTGAGGAAAATGTTGGCGGAGACCAAGTCCTAGAAGAGATTGGATGATGAAACCATGATTTGGGGATTTGAGATTACAGTTTTACTGTTAGGATTCTTTTGTATTATTTTTATTTTTCAAATCTCTGATTTCAGAAAGAATTTCCCAAACTCTGGTAGCTACTTCCTCCCAACTAAGCTCTCCACTTGCTTTGAAAACTTTTTTTTATCATTTTTTTATAATATTTGGTTAGATAATTTAATTATTTTAAAATATAGTAATGAAGGATAAATAATTTAGTCAGTGCATTAGCAAGTGTTAACGTCAATTTGGGGATTTTTTTGTTTTTAATTAAAACTGCTTTTAGTAAATCAATAATCTATTCATAATCATAATCTTTTGAGGCAATTATTAGTGCTGTTGAATCTCACAACACTGTTGACAGCTTTATCTGCTGTAAAAAACACACTTGTTAGTGTAATTGCACTTCTTTTTCTGGCTTAAACATGGTTTAGATTTATAAATACTTATAAAATTTAAGGGTTAGATTTATTATGCTGCACATTTTATTAACTGTAATATTATTTTTTGTTGAAAATGTCCTATAATCATATAACTATTTACATATTTCTATCCGTCATTTTTATTTGTTCAAGCTTAACTTAAAATTTGAATTTAAAACTTATTTTACTATTTAAATTTTTTTGATAAATTTTATGTATATATTTGATGGTTTAAATTATACTGCCTCTCTTTTTTTTTGTTAACTATCTATTTTGTTTCTCAATTATTATACCTAAAATATCACTTTCAATCAATTTAAAGTATCACAACCGTTTAGAGTGACTTTACAAAGAATATCACATAACATTATTAGAAAACACTATGTTACAAAATAATGACAACCTAATTTAAAAAATCTTAAGAAATTAGGTTATTCTCAAATATTTTTTAGGAATATATATTTTTTACTTTTTCTAAATTTAATTTATATATATATTGAATTATTTACTATTTATACATATTTTTGTTAGTTTCTATTTTACAGTTTATATACTTTTTATATTTTATGGTAGTCTTTCTGATAATATTATATGGCATTTTTTATGTGTTGTGTCAAACTGCTTCTACAGTAGATTAATTCCAAAAGTCAAAGAAAAAGTTTTTAACTTTTTTTTTTGGTACTCACAATGTTAATGGTCATGCTTGTACCGATATTAACTAAATTATTAATGAATTCTCTGTTTTCTTAGGCCACGAAATTAATAATGAAATCTTAATTGCTAAGTTTTTTTTTTGCATCATTTGATTATTGCTTGTTCTTTTTTGTTTCTACTTTAGACTTTTGAAGTGTTCTAGGCTGGATGATGTCTCTTTCTTTATCAAAGTGTTCTTCCAATCAGAGCCACGAGCCATATGCTAACTCCCATTTTTCATTAAAAGAAAAGAAGAAGAAAAAAAGTTATTCAATCGATTTTAAAATTTATATAATTTTTTTATTAATACATTATGTATTCGGTTGATAATCTGAGAGAAATTTTATTTTTTATCATTCATGCAATGGCATATTTAGAACTAGTTTAGTGTTTACTCTAAAGTTTAAGTTTTTTAGTTTAATTATTTATTTTATTGATTATATTCGTCATGAAATTTTATTTATACACAAGTAATATATTTTTTATGTTATTAATATATTTATGTACACCTAAAAAATAGGAATGATAGACGGGTATAATTTTGTGGATTTTACATCGCATCTACTCCAATTGTGATATGGATGGATATAAATTTAATGGATAGTGAACGGATGTGGATGTAAAAATTAATACCCGCCATGGGTAGTGGGTAGGTGATGAATTTAATACCTTACTCGCTCTGCATCTGCTACCCTACATCTGCTCGTCCACTAATTACCCATCGTATAAATTTTGCATTATTATGAATTTAGGTTTAATTTCAGAGGATATTCTATCTTAAGATTTTATAGAACATTACTTGTAATTTAACCAAATGATATGGTATAAACTCAATTAATCCTTAATTTCTTTATATATATATATATATATATATATATATATATATATATATATATATATATATATATTGTTGCTTATGTAATCTGTGAGGTTATTTCTAGGCAAGTATGGGCTAGTACAGGAGGGTAAAGAAATTTAAGAATGGGGATCCAAAATGATTTAGAAATTTAATAATGAGATCCAAAATTTCAATTTTCTTTTTTTTAAATAATGGGTATGCAAAAATTGTAATTTTTTTCTTTTTTTCTTAACACATTAAACTAAATTTAACCACTTTTCCAAAATAATGGGATGCACTTGACCCTTATAGGGGTTTAGTGCATCTGCCACTAGGTAAGAGATGGGTGGTAGATATCCAGTTGGGTAGTGAGTAAGGGGTAAATTTAAGAATATATCTATGTGAATGGGTGCGAAATTAAAAATTTTACTCGTCTTGAGATAGATAATAAATACAAAAATATTACGTGGATATGAAGAGATGATAATGAATATCTATATCCGTCCGACTCGTTTATCATCCTACTCAAAAAGATCTATGGATCTATCATTATATCTGTATATTTATTTACTTATTTATTCTTTTCACATTGCATGAATGGTTTCGTACACTAACTTTATTGCCATCGCTTTTTCTCCTTGGTTATACCCTCCTTTCTCTTCCTTTTAGTGATTTTACTTTCAATGTCGAGGACAATGAAATCGGGTTGGCATTCACTTTAGGACGCTCATCTCTTTCCATTGGAAAAGTAATGAGTAATTTTAGGAACACTTGTTTTATAATAATAAAACCTTCAAATAAGAGAAGATTTGAACTTCACGTTTGTTAGGACTTGAGGAATAGTTCTAATAATAAAGAGAATATTATTTTTCTAGACGATTAGAATCCAAATAAAATAAAACGAATATATAATTTAAATTACTGTGAGAAGAAAAAAAATTTACGTCGATATGTTTTCTTAAGAGATATAAACAACTAATGTTATAATTTAATACTGTTGAATTTCTTAACTTAAGAGATCAAAAATTAAACCTTAAAAAAATAAGTAGAAAATATTTATTTTAATCTGATTCTATATTTTTTCATGCATAAGGATTGGCTAAAATCAACACAAGCAAGGGTTCCATGATGTTGATATGAAATTGGTTGGACTCTAGATTTTGGCTCTACTAATTCTTATCTTTAACTAAAGATTGTATGTTTTGCGTATAAGTCAAAGAATGACGCAGAAAATAAATAAATGGCTCTAAACCAATTGATTGGTATGTAATTTGGATTTTATAAGGTATGTTTGTTTTGTTATAATTGATTTTTTAAAAAATTAAATTTTAGAAAATGAATTATTGGAATATGAATTTGAAAAATGAATTACATTTCTGGAAAACGTTTTCCGGAAAATATTTTCCGTAAAATGAATTATATTTTTCTGGAAAACGTTTTATGATGTTTGGAAGATGTTGTTTAAACATTTTTTCCACTAGTTGACGAGTTTTTTCTAAAAATATTTATTACAAATATTAAATACAATAAATAATATTATTTATCATAAAACTTAATATTATTATTTTAAAATATTAAATAATTTATTTATTATAAATATTATTTTATAATTTTATTAATAAAAATATTAATATTGGTATATTTTATTGAAATAAAAATATTATAAATTATATTAATTATTTATTAAAGTAATAGTGTTATATTATATTTTAAAAATATTAATTAGTATATTTTAAATATCTTTATTAAAATATTATTAGATTATTATATTAATATCAAATATAAATAAAATTATTCATTATTAATAATTTATAATATATTTATGTGAAATTAATAAATAATATAAATTTTATTAATAATTTATTATATTATTAAAATAAAATACAATATCTCATATTATTATAAATATTAATAAATATATTTTAAATATTTTAATAATTAATATTTTGATTCAAAACGATATTAAAATATTTTATTACTATTAAATTCATAAAATAAAATTATTTTGAGTACTTATTATTTAAAGTGAAAAGTTCGGAAAATGACTTACGGAAAATCAGACCGTAAGTCATTTTCCAGAAAACACAAAGGAAATTCTGTTGACCAGAAAAATATTTTACGTTGATCAACCAGTTTTCCTCCAACCAAATACTGAAAAACATTTTCTGAAAAACGAATTACGTGAAACAAGCACGGGATTTCGGGGAAAACCAATCCCCCTAAACAAACAGACCCTAAGTGGCGGTTTGAATTTTTTGATTTTGAAATACTATATTCTTTTGCACACAAAAAAACATGAATGCAATGTATATAATTTTTTTTTAAAAAAAATTGAGATTGTTAGATGTATATTTACTAGTGAAAATAAGATTAATATAGATTTATTTAGTATAAAATTTACAAATGGTCGTTAAACTACGACAAAAGCTATAATGAAAGTCAATTAAAAATTTAATAATTGTATTGTAAGTTTAGAAAGTTTAGTGATTACATGCAAATGTCCTAAAAGTTTAAGGGTCACTTATGTAGCCTACCTTAAATTGGAAGTGTCAAAAACACGAAACTAGCCTAATTTTGATCTCAAGTTTTGAAACCTTAACCTAATACTAAAATCATTTTCAGCTTGCTTTCTCGATTATTTTTATTAAGTTAAGGTGATTATAAAGTAATATTTGCTCTAAATACTCTTAATCATTTGACAATGAACGATCAATCATCCTATTGCAATCGTTAGTGCTGGAACCCATGACTTCTATAAACAACAATAATTTATTTAACCACTCAGATAAGTTAATTCGTGTAATTTACTTTCTCGATTTTAATATTAGAGTCTCAGTTTTGTAATCAACCAGTAGGTTTTGAAAGTCAGTCAACGGTTTTGATATCAATCGGCCAATTGGGTCTAATGACTATAATTTTTAAAATATTATTATTCGGTTCCGAAATTAAAGTTATAAATGAATACTTAATGCTCGATTTTAATGAACGACTAGAAAACTTTCCCAACAACTCTAAACAGCTGGTAATCTATTAGATGAAATAAAGGGAACTTATATCAGATGAAGACATTCAAGGAAGCTATTTACCAATTATTAAGCTAAAAATTCCATATATACTTATGTTTTTCCCATTTTTCTTGTTGAACGATTGTTTGTTCTTTCTTATATTCATTTTGTTATAATATTCTTGAGTATGAGTTGAACTTGTCCAAATATATTTACATTGGGATGATTTTTATAGTTTTCTCTTTATAACTATTCTTTAAGACAGTGTGTAATCAATACTTTAGGGTGTTGTAAATCTTGATAGAGTTATAAGACTACACAATGCAAATTAATGAATCTATGAAATCTTTAACAATGAATCTATGAAATCTTTAACGTGATTAACTAAAAACAGTGGATGTAGACTTGATTTAAAATTTAAACACATATTCGTCTCTAAGATTTAAGTGGTTCGAGACGAACATAGAAATTAAGCACCTATAAAAAGTATTGAAAAAAATTGAATCGTGATAACAAGCAAAACTAAATAAATTTACTTGTAAATTATTTTTTTATTACGTTTAATAAACTATCTAATAAATACATCGAATTTTAAACAAAAAATCAATAAATTTCATTTAACATTAAGCTACTCACACAAAATAAACATGATCATCTTTAAAGGACCCAAGTTAGATTTTAATCTACTCCTAACTCTATCTTGTCAAAAAATAATAAAAGAATAATTAATGAAAAGTAAAAAAAATAATTTTAGAATGCCACATCAAAATCATCGTTAATTTTTAAATGATGCGTAACAAAAAATATATAATGTTAAGTAAGATTTTAAAAACAATAATAAATAAATGACTAAAACAAAAAAAAAATAAAATGTAAGCGACTAAATACATAATTTATCATTTTTAAGTATATAAAAATTAGCTGACCCTTATTTCCATATGTAATATGATAAGGGGGAGGTAGGATAGTAGGCTGCCCCCAACGCCAGGTTGAGAGCAATTTCCGTAAGAGACATCCGAATTATGAAATGCCCTCCGTGAGACTCGATACCACGACCCCAAGGTTAAGATCCTTATGCTCTACCAACTGAGCTGGATGACATTTCTAAGTATATGTGAGTTTATAATGTTGGACCCTACGCAAGAGAGACTAGATAAGAGGAGACTCTAGTCTAGGCAGTTGCTCCTTTTGTCCAGACTAAAAAACGAACATGTTTAAATCATTCCAAAATTATTTGTATTTGTATAAAAAATAAAATAAATTTACTTGTGTTAATTTTAAAATCTTTATAAAAGTTTTCCATAAACTTTTAATATCTAATTTATCTCATCCTAATCACATTAATTGATTGATTCAGTACTTCTAAGTATATAATTATATTAAAACCTAAACTAATTTATATACAATGAACAAGTAAATGGAATCTAAAATTTTAAATTTATATTTTCAAAAATAACATAAAGTATTTACTTTTTGGCACACGCGCTGGCACATGTTTGTCAGAAATTTACTTTAAATAAAAAAAATATAAAAAGATTAAACATATTCAAATATTTTTTTTTGGTATAAAAGAAGGAAAAAAAAATGGAAACGACACCGTTTCCTATTTCCATCTTAGGGTATCTTTCCCTAATCTATCCAGATTGAAAGCATCCAAAATTTCTCCAGGCGACTCTCGTAAAACTCTCTGCTTCCTCTTTCGTTAATCTCTATCTTGGCCAGACCATCAGCGCACCCATTACTTTCTCTAAATATATGCTTTATCTCCTTTACCTTTATTTCTTTTATCAGACTTTTGCACTCATTTATCATCAAACTGATTTGGGGGTCCTCGTGTTCTTCTGCTTTCCCTCGAATCTATTTCGATAATCAGGTTCTTCAGATTCAGAGTTATTGCTTTGGTAAGGCCTTTTTTCAATTCCCAAATTTCTGCTAACAGACATGATGATTTCCCTAGATGAATCAAATATCCTGTAACCCAATCTCCCTTATCGTCTCTTATCAGGCCACCTGCTCCAGCGTATCCTGTTGACCTGTTACAAGCGCCGTCCGTGTTTAGGGTATAGCATCCTACTGGGGGTTTCCTCCAACATATCCACCTGGGTTCTCTGGTAAGGTTTTTGTTGCTGTAATTCTTCGCGTTTAGAGTATCAATAGCAAGTTTGAGGCCATATTTAAAAATATGGTTTAGGTTCCTGCTTTTTGCATTGAAGATGTTTTCGTTGCGTTCTTTCCATATTCCCCATACCAAACAAGAGAATAGAGTGCCCCAACTAATAATGCCATTCAGCTCCTTTTTAGACGAACTGTTTCTTCGCATCCAAACTATAAAATCAGAGGAGTCAATAGGTTTCATAGAGACTTCCTGATCTGAAATACTCCACACTTCTTTTGCAATTTTGCAATATCTTATTACGTGTTCTATCGATTCCATTTCCCCTGGGCACTCTTTACAGTCTATCTCGATTGTCATTTGTTTCTTTGCTCTTAATTCGTTCGTGTTCAGTCTATTGAGGCAACATATCCAAATGAAGAATCTAACTCGCTCAATAGAGTCTATCTTCCAAATCCAATTGAATGAAGTGTCATTCTGGTCATTTGGATTTCTATTGATAATTTTCTTGAACGCCAATCTAACAGAGAAAGTGCCCTTTTCCTCATGCCCCCAATTTGAATTCTCTGAACGATAATACGCCACTTTCTCCAACTTATTAACAAGATCAATCTCAGGAAACTGCTCTTTTAGAGGTGCTTAGCCGAACCACCAATCATATCTGTCACAACCGTCTTTCGGTTGGGCCTCAAAATTGGGTTTCGACTTGAAAAATGTGGATTGGAGTCGCCACCGATCATTTATTTAAAAATAAATGGGTTGATCGGATACCCTATTTCTTACCTGATCTGCGTCTTACCAGAAATATGTCGGGCTCGGGAGTCGGTTACGGTCAAGGAAAGATTAGCACCCTTGAACCGCCCTTTCGGTACTACGTAATTTCCAGTTGTCTTTAATTAAGAAACTTGTAATTTTAAATCAAAAGGTAAAACAAAAATGTCGATCCAAACTACTTACCTTTGATAGTTTGCGGAAATACCCTTAAAAAGTAGTGAAAATAACATTAGGGAAAACAGTGAGGAGAACAAATAAAAATGAAGACAATAAGATAAAGAAAGAAAACGAAACGCATAATCAAGAGAAATATTAAAGATAAAAAATAAATGGCATAATTAAAATGAATATAACAAAAAATGACAGAAATAAAAACAGAGGCAAATATATAAAAAGTAAAATAATATAAAATAAAGGGGAAGAAAGAAAAAAATAAAAAGTAAAAGGGGGAAATAAATAAAATAAAAATGGAATAAATAATTAATGAATGAAATGAGAAATATATATATTTTAAAGTATTAGAAAGGAAAAATATCAATAATAGGTAAAATGAATATATATATATATATATACATACATAAATACAAAAAAAAATGTTAATAGAAATATAATTATAAGATAAAATGAGTAAGGTTGGTAAATAATAATAAAAAAATACATATATAACATATAAAATTATAAGACGTAGTAGCTAGATAAAGAAATGACCAAAGTTAATTAAAAATAATATATATGTATTAATAATAAGTATATAGATGAAATATATAGAAAATACGTGTATATATATATATATATAATTACATAATATGAAATAAATAAAAGGGTCAATATAAGTATTAAATTGAATCAAAAATAAGTTGGGTAGCTAAATTGAAAGAAAATCAGAATTAGAAACCAATTCAAAAGCAAATTCGGGGTCAAAATAATTCTTTAAAAGTAGAGAGGGACCAAAAGGGTAGTTTACCCCATTTTCTTAAAAAACACGCGGGTTCGGGGGTGTATATGTGTCAAAATCTGGTTTTAAAATTTTATTTCTTTCCTTCTCTCCAAACAGAACGCCCTCCCCTTTATCTTTTCTCTCAACTGTTCTTCAGTATGAAGAACAAGGGCCGTGGTTCCCAGAACACGGCCACCGCGTCGCCTTGCCGCCGCCGTTGAACGGCGTCGGCCGTCGTTCATCGGCGGTAAAACCAGATTTTTTCTTTGTTTTTCAAAGCTTTTTAAATCTAGTTTTCAAAAATCAAAATATTTTCTATAAAAAATGAGCCTCGGGGGCTAGATCTACAAAAGAAGATCCTGAAAACGCCCCTTGTTCATCGGCTAATACGCTTCTTTTGGGTTCTATTCGAACCAAAATGACGAAGAGACCATGCATGCAAGCATCTAAAGCGATAAAGGTACAAACTTTTACCTTTTCCTTCCGAAAACTTTGCGAGAATTCCTCTGTTTCACTCTAATATTTTCTGCGAATTTTTGCTAGGATTTTGTATCTATTTCGTGTGAAAAATCTCTCTTGTTATTTTCGTCCCCCCTTAATGGGTTCTGATTACATATATTTATAGGAATAAAAATCCTATTTTTAGGTATTTACAACCGAATAAAACACTAATGCAATCTGTTTGTGTTTGTTGGTGATAAATGGGTTTCATTCGCCGGACGCCTCGGGACTGTTGGAGGTGAGAGACGTGCACCGTGAAACTCGGAGGGACAGTCGTGAGGCGTGGGATTCTCGGCCATGCGGCGCTGTTGGAAGCAACGCGTGGACTAGGGTTCTGGAAACCTTAGTTTCCAGGTGGGTTGCGAGCTTTGGGTCACTGCTGGACCAGTTGTAATATTTGGGCCTGTAGAAAAAAAGAACCAAAATATGTATTATATTTATAATATTACATAGTAATATTATAATTCAATTTTCATAGTCGAAATTAAGTGTCTTCAGTTGCCCCTCTTTGCTCATTATCGTGTAACGACAATAGAGCAAAGATTAAAAGACACAAATTTCGTCCATATCGAATGCTATCAGTTCGAGAGTTGAAATCCGATATTGAAACTGGTTTGTCACTTTAAATCACGAAATGACTCTCTCGTCGCGAGGTTGAGTCTGAGAATTGGATATCCTTCGTTGTGAAGCTGAAATCCAAGTATTGTTCCGAGTCCAATACCCTCCACTGTGAAGTTGAAACTGGTTCTGGAACTGGGAAATCGTTTATTGACAACCAGCGGTCCCTTCGTCGTGAAGTTGAACTTGTGTTGTCTAGAGTCCAATATCATTCGTTGTGAAGTTGAAATTGGCTCTGAAATTGAGAAATGTTTGTTGACAACCAGCGGCCCCTTCGTCGTGAAGTTGAACTTGCGTTGTCTGAGTCCAATATCCTTCGTTGTGAAGTTGAGATTGGCTCTGAAATTGATAAATGTTTGTTGACAACCAGCGGTCCCTTCGTCGTGAAGTTGAACTTGCGTTGTCTGGAGTCCAATATCCTTCGTTGTGAAGTTGAAATTGACTCTGGGTAAGACCTGTTTATTGACAACCAGCGGTCCCTTCAGCGTGAAGTTGAACTTGCGTTGTCTGGAGTCCAATGTCATTCGTTGTGAAGTTGAAATTGGCTCTGTATTTGAGAAATGTTTGTTGACAACCAACGGTCCCTTCGTCGTGAAGTTGAACTTGCGTTGTCTGGAGTCCAATATCCTTCGTTGTGAAGTTGAAATTGGCTCTGTATTTGAGAAATGTTTGTTGACAACCAGCGGTCCCTTCATCGTGAAGTTGAACTTGCGTTGTCTGGAGTCCAATATCCTTCGTTGTGAAGTTGAAATTGACTTTGGGTAAAACCTGCAAAGATATGCATATATGCGATGTTAGGGATGTCATGCTCTTAGGTATGCCTAAAATGTATAGGCAACATATGTTATTCTGGGCTCTGGAGAGAAATCTTGATCTCCGGTGGCCTGTCGTTGTTGACTCTTGATTTTGAAAGCTTGAAGTTCCGATCTCTGAACTTGAATTCTTCAAATGTTTAAATCTGATGTGCACATTCTGTTTTTTCTTGATTTGGGAGATACTCCTCAACTATCTCAAGTATGTGCATGAGCCTTGATCGGCTTTTGGGTACCTGTACTTTTCAATGAATCTTTGTACAGTAATATGCGATTATCTTTCATAAAAAATAAATAAATCATTAGGTTTAAATCTAATTCAAGATGCTCAAAAGGAATGAGAGGAAAGATGATCTTTATTCATAAGGGAGGAGAAGGGCAAATAATACATGGCAAACATTCTAGAAAACGAATACACGATGATGTGTAAATGAACGTCTTAGATATCGATAATGTGGGCACTTCTGAGCTGAAAAGTCGTTTGGTGACCTTGAATGCAGCCTTTGCCAAAGGATTTTTGAAAATACGACAACGTTTGAGAGAGTGCAACATTTCTCCGATTTGTTGAGTTTGTACAAGATTCATGTGCCGGGATATTTCCACTGTTAATATCCAAATCGCCCTTTCCGGGTTTTCAACTTGGGCTCATCATTGGTTGCAGGACGCCCTTTGCGAGTTTTCATCTTGAACTTACCTTATTTTCTCTTCTTTTATTCTCTTTCTTCCTCTTTTTCTTTCTCAATTTAGGGTGTCCTTTCGAGTTTTCACCCTAAACATTCTTTTTTTTTTTTCAACTTAGGACGCCCTCTCGGGTTTTCATCCTAAGCGAAGTATTTCTTGACTGCGTCCGAGTTGATGGGATGTGACAGTTTAGGTCCGTCCATTTCAGCCAGGATGAGGGCTCCTCCGGAGAAAGCCTTTTTCACGACATAAGGTCCTTCCCAATTTGGCGTCCATTTTCCTCGGAAATCTTTCTGGACTGGCCAAATTCTTTTTAGCACTAGATCTCCCTCGCGGAATATTCTTGGGCGCACCTTTTTGTCATGTGCTCGGATCATTCGTTTCTGATAGATTTGACCATGATGAATGGCTTTCAGTCTTTTTTCATCTATCAGATTAAGCTGATCATATCTGGATTGTGCCCACTCTGCATCATCCAGTTTGACTTCTGACAAGACCCTGAGAGACGGAATCTCGACTTCAATGGGTAGCACTGTTTCCATTCCATAGGCTAGTGAAAATAGAGTTGCCCCAATCGAAGTTCGTACCGAGGTTCGATAAGTGAACAAAGCAAAAGGCAACTTCTCATGTCAGTCTTTGTAAGTTTCAGTCATTTTCTCCACTATCTTCTTAATA